CTTTTTTTTTTAATAAAATCGCGTGCGAGAGGATACATTTCAACAATTTGTGACTACAATACGCTAAAATTATATTGGTATATAACAATAAATGTGACGCATTAAGAGATTATGTGAAGTTAATGATGAAACTTCAATCTTGTAACCTAACTTTGAAATCTGCATATTCCTGTTTCTCCTTACCGTGAGTGGAAACGAGTCTTCTTTTTCTATAGTTATTTAGAATTAATAATATGATAGCTGTTCAGTAGTACGATGTAGTACAATAAGTGTTCGATTGCTACACAATAATAGTTTATAATGGTTTAATAATTAGGAACGCTCAGCTACTTGTATTACATTACTAAAAATATTATAATTAGTTACTAAATTAAAATCATTGCTAAGTTATATCATTCAAAAATCGTAAAACACAAATACCATATGGATTTAATAAAATTGTGAGCAAGGAGAAAAGAGAACGCGGGAGAGAATACAATGAGAAGAAGAGAGAGAGCGAATACTATGATAAATATAGGACCATAATGGGTGAGAGAGAGAATACGGATACTATGGCGCGCGCGCGTGTGTGTATGTGTGTGTGTGTGTGTGTGTAGGACTACACGGGTGGAGCATATATCGTTATGCTCACTATTTGCGACAACGTCGCAATACATCTCGATCTTTAAATTTTATATCATTATGCATACTATTTTGGCAACGTTGCAACGTATCAAAATTACATTCATGATGTCATTGCGAAACATGTCGTATTAACATGTCGAATGTCCTTAAAAAGTCTTTTATTACACTAACAAAGCTGTCGCATATCGACGTTTACATTTTTTATCTCTCGTTTGTGTTGGTAGAACAATTCCATATGCATTCCTGAATAAATGTGATGAAGAGGACGAAACTTAGAAAGAGCTTGGGCAATGAGCAAAATTGTACTTTCCACGTATGCAATAAAATAAAATTAAACTAAATAATATTGCAATTGGTGACAACCAAGGTAATAATCTTGCCTCGTGCAGTGTGGCGGGCTTTCATCGAAAGACGCGCGGATATTGAGCGGTTCGTGCAATCACCCCCCGCGCCTTCATCATAATCGGTCCAAGATCTTGTGATAGAAATCGTAAAAATGCGTGATGCGAATGTGGTCAAATTAACATTGCGCGATACATGTCTGTATATGAAGTCGTCAAACGTGCTCTTCATGTTCAAACTCGACAATGCGTCGAGAAT